CTAACAATGCGAGCCCCCATCAGGCCCCCAGGCCATCTGGCATAGCCACGATATCCTGTTGGGACGACTCAGGGAATTGGGGATGGGGAGCATGGTTCTGTGCTGGTTCACCTCCTTTCTTTGGGGCTGGTCCCAGTTGGTGCTGATAGGGAGCGAGAGGTCCCATCCTCGGCCCCCCCCCCCCCCACCCCCCGGGTGGGGGTGGACCGCAGGGTTCGGTTCTCTCTCCACTCCTTTTCAACATCTACATGAAACCGCTGGGCGAGATCATCCGTCACCATGGGATGAGATATCATCAGTATGCATGCATACAGCCTAACAGCCCAGAGGACACACTCACCTCCTGAGCCCCCTTTTTTGCACCCTCAGAGCCATAGGCACTTGATTGAAGCTGCAATGATGCCAACATGCAATTCAAGCTGCTGGTTATCACCTTTAGAGCCCTGCACGGCACAGAACCAGGCTACTTGCAGGACCATCTCTCTCCAAGGGTTTCCACCCATCCCACAAGATCCCACAGGGCCAGCATGCTTCCAGGTCCTCTCTATCAAACAGTGTCATCTGGGGGGGACCAAGGGAATGTGACTTCTCTGTTGCAGGGCTTGCCCTACGGAACAGCTATCCTTTGAGATCCAGGAGGCCCTGACCTTCTTGGCCTTCTGGAAGGCTGTGAAGACCTGGGCCAACGATGTTTGTTGGGCCCAATATAGGTGCGGTTGTGCTGGCTGGTTGTTATGGTGCCTTGGTCAATTTATTATAGTTGTGCTTTGTGGGTTTTTTTTTTAATGTATTTTTTGTGGTTGTTCGTGAGCCACCCAGGGTTACGTACTTGAGATGGGCAGCCAGGTAAATTTTCTAAATAAATAAAATAAAATGACATCATGTGTACATCATGTAACACCATTGTGCAAATATGAAATTCACATCATTTGCTCAATGACACCTTGATGCCCGAAATGTCATGTAACACCCCTCGCTGCTGTTGGAGAACAGTTCCTGAGCACTCTTCTCCCTTCTCAGTCATCGATGTGATGAGGTTTAGGTCTGTCCCTCTACTCAATCAGAACACAATTTGTGAAGTCTCCAGTTCCTTTACTAAGAGTCTGCAGAATCTCAACACATTTGACAATGTTGCCTTGGGCAAGACCGTGACCATACACACAAGCAAGCTTTTATCCTCTTTTCACACAAAGAGTTACAGGTGGCACAATGAATTATTCCACATGTGGTCATTTTCTAACTAATCTGGAAGCTCCCTGCTTATAGCTTATCTTGCGCAAGTGTAACGAAGTATCTGTAATGCCGTGGCAGCATACAGTGGATAACAATGGACATTTTCAGGTATCTACAGCTTTGGTAAAGCCAGTGGTTTTCGAAGACTGAGACCTTTTCCTGGAAGAGGGGAATTTGTGTTAACAAGCCCCTTCCACTGCTAAATGTGACATTTCAGCTCCTCAGTTCTTTGGGGCTGCCCTAGTTACATACTTCAGAACAGTTACTTTAGCCACATCTTGCACATGATAACGAAAGTACTTGTAGTAACTATAGATGTTACTACAAGTGTAGTAACATCATGGAAGCTGTCTTACTTCTTTATTCCATACACCCCTTACACCATCTCCAGCGGACACCCATGCACACTCAGAACAGCCTCTGGATGTGCAGACTTCAAATCCCAGAACTCTTAGCAATGACCATTGCTGGCTGGGGAATTCTGGGAGCTGAAACATCTGAAGCAGGGTGAAGCTGCAGAAGGCCACCAGTGGGCATCCTGCCCTTTCAACCTGAACATTTCTGGCATTTCTTAGATGACTTTTTGTTGCACAGTCATTCCTGCTGGCTACCTCAAATCAGACAAACCAGCAAATATTCATGGAATTTTCACTTCAGAATACCCATTATAGGCAGTCCTCGCTTAGCGACCACGATTGGGACTGGCAACTCCATCGCTAAGCAATATAGTCACTAAGCAAAACATCACATGATCACAACAAACGTATGTCACTTCCCATATTGGTTAGGTTGGGTGGGTTTTGTAGTACTGCTGACATGGATTCTTTCACTAGTTCTGGGCAAATGGATGTAAAGAGTGCTGTGACATCAAATGAGACCATAATTTCATCTTCATCTATTTTTAGGTCTCTGATTTTCTAGAAGCACTGTAGTGGGGAGTTGATAGAATATTTGCTCCCCTCTGTGAGATCTTGAAGCTTTTTTGTCAGTTCTTTTGCTATGCTGTATGTTAGGGTCCCTGGTAACGATACCGTTGGTTGGAGAGGTATGTCAGGCTTGTTTATTTTGGAGTGTCCATAGAAGCATGGGGGGATGGGTGCCCTGCTTTTCATCCACCATTGTTCTTCTTTTGTGATCTGGCCTTTCTTGGTTAGGTCTTTAAGGGTTCTTGATCAGGTGGTCCAGTTTCTGCATTGGGTTGGTGTTTACTGGGATGGAGGTTTCTTTGTCCTCCAGTAATTCTTTGGCTTGTTGTATTGTACTGGGCTGCTCTGTCCTCTGCTTTGAGCTGATGCTGATACTATGTTCTTCTTGTAAGGAATGCCCATTCGTCAAGAGAAACTCCCGTGACACATGTGGTTCTCAAAAGAGGTTTACTCAAGCGTAACGCAAGAGTTACAAACAAAGCCAGGACTGGCTTGGCACATTTTGTTGTACAATTTATAACTCTCCCCTTCCCGCGTTTCACCCCATCGTCATGTTACATACTACGGATTATCGATACCCCAATAATCCCCCTTAATGTTCCAAATGGCAGGTTCAGCCAGTATCCCATTGTCCCTCGATTGCCTGCCCCTCCGGCGTGGGCTTGTTTCCTCGGGGTCCTTTCAGTTGCATGCCACACCGGGGTTTGCTTGATCGCACAGTGATTTCCTTTCCGCGGCTCGCGGCTTCATTCTTTGTCTCGTGCGCGCTGCTCATCAGGGTGGATACAAAACTTCCACTCTGCGGTTTCCTTGTTAAGCGGGCGTAGGTGGCCAATCAATTAGCCACGGCTCGCACTTCCTCTTTCTCCCCGGCTAGTGCACGGGCAGTAGAATTGGCTCAGTGTGGCTGGCCGGGCTTCCTAGCAGTGCCGTGCCGGCTGAACCTGACACTTCTGATCTGTGGTATGATGGTCTGGCTTATGTTTTCTTGGATCTCTGTGGCAAGTCCTGTGGTTTTAAATGCTGCTTCTAGGGCTGCATCAGAATTTTAGCTGATTAGCATCATCCATGTTACAGTTGAGGCCTTTCTGGAGGATACTGTGTTCTGCGATGGATAGCGGGCGGCTGGACATGTTGACTACCCATTCGGGTTCAGGTACCTCTTTGTTTCTGGGGTTTAGCTTGAGCAGTTTGGAGTTTCGTTTTCCTTTTTTCAGCTTGTCTTAGGGATGTAGTCTTGATGGTGGTTGTCAGCCTTTTAGGGTGTTCTGGGGTCACGGTTTGTTCCAGTTGCTCCTTGAGGTTGTCTGTGGTGTGCAAGTATTTGTTGGGTCTGAGGTGAGCATCCATGATCATCAGCCATATCACTTTTCAACAGCTTCGTTGAGCTATTTTCCATCCAGCCGTGCAGTTTATTGGAGGTTTGTGACACTGATGGTTTTAATTGTCGCTTGATGTGCTGCAGATAGTTATTTCTGTCATGGGTGAATTCTTATTTATTGTTTTAACCTTACACACTTTCCAGAAGGTGAAACTAGACAATCTTTTCCAGCTCTACAATTCTGGGATTCTATATGTCCAGTGTGTAAGCCAGTGCTTAGAGTTGCAAATCAATCAATCAGTCAATCAATCAATTAATCAGTTTAACCAAGCCCTAGCCTATCTAGCAGGAATTTCTTCTTTCCATGCAGGTGATGGCTAAGGGGAACATCATACGAGCAGGGAAACATGTGGAGCGGGTGGAACAGGGAAAAGGTAAATGCTTCCCCCCAACTTCCACTCCCCCCCAACGCCTGGCAAAAAGCTTCCCAGATGTTCCCCAAGGGCTGGGGATGGGGTATGTCAATCTGCAGAGGCTCCAGTTCTCCCTTGCTGAATGCCAGATACCCCTTGCCCATCTGTAAAGTCTCTCTTTCTTTTCCCACTTGCAACTGGGTTCGCTATATCCCATGTCACACTGGCAGGGAAGGGAAGGTGGGCATACACAGCCATCCCTGCCATTGGGCAGAGGGAAGGGATGGTCTCAAGCAGCGGGAACAAGGGATAGGAACAGGCCATTTCTCCCAAATCTCTGCAGCAGCTTTCTTCATCCTGAGTTTTGGCTGTGCGGCACAGTGATGTCTCTTTGCAACTGGCAGGCTGCCCTGTTGCCTACTACCTATTTCCTCTGAGACGGGCCCTTCTTGGAGACTCGGAGAGGCTTGGGGGCTCAGCCTCTCGTAGCTGCAGCCTGGCACGTGTGCTTGGTTTTGCTTCTGAGGATAATGAATGCACGCAAGGCAGAAGGATGAAGGAGAGGGAGTGGGTGGAGTTCCCAACCGCCTGGCACACGGAAGGCCCTGAGTTCAACCCAGAGCCTGACCTGATCAGGGGGCAGAAACCCTGGAGAGCCATTGGCAGGCATTACTAGCAGCATTGGCTCAAGGGGCTGAGGCAGCATCCTGGGTTTCTAGGATGGCAAAGTGTTGAAGGGCTCCATGGCATGTGCCACAGGGCCTGTTTTATGTCTGTTGCCCTCCTGTTCAATGGGAGATGTTACCACCGGTACTGGAAGGAGAGTCACCTGCTGATTCATGGATCCCTGAAAGAGGAGGGGGCACCAACCTGACCATTGCCACCACAAACCTTATATCTTGGAGGAGAAGGCAAGCCCACACAACTGAGAAGAAGACAGCAGCTGAAGCCCTTCATCTCCTGAGTCTTCAATGATCCACTTCTGTCTCATTTTCCTCAGCCTGTTGCGTCCCCCTGGAAGAGCCCCATGTCTGACAACTGGAACTAATTCCTTCTAACTTTCCCCTTTTTCAATCTCTCTCTCTTTCTCCTCCACCCGGGAATTTCATGCTTTAGAAGCCAAAGGGGCCTTCCTTTTGAATCTCTTGGTGGATGCCGATACCGCTCCCCTGACCCGCTTGCTCCTCTACACCATTTTGCCCAGCGGAGAACTTGTTGCTCATTCAAGAGACTTCACCGTAGAAAAATGCTTCTCCAACAAGGTAAAGCTGTACGTTTTGCGTTGTGCCCTTAAAGAAAGGCAGAATCTGAATGTTCCAGAGCAGATCTTTTCTAAGCTAGTTGTACTCAACTCTGCTGGAGCCAATGCCCGGAAAGCCTTCCTTGCTCCTGATCCTTTGAGAAATAGCTCTTGAGTTACACTTTTGTTATCTGTTTGCCCAAGCTGGGGTGCCAATCAGTTATGCCCTGGACATACCTGTCCCCTTGAATGCCATTATCTCTGTGGGTTATAATTAAGTTGCAGAATGGAAGGAAAACCCAAAGCATCAGCTAAAATCAAGACTTTTTTTCCTCAGCCAGTAGTTTGGTTGATCCAGTGAAATTGTGGCTTGACGTTACAACATGTCTTCCAGAAGGATGGCTTCATTCCATTCATTCCTCATTCCATTCACTCCATTTGGCACAGGAAGTGACTTTTTCAAAGACCTGGTTTATGTTTACAGGTGAGACTGTGGTTCTCTGAACAAGAAGGCCTGCCTGGCGAGAAAACCCAACTCCATCTTGCAGCCTCCCCCCGTTCACTTTGCGCCATCCACGCCGTGGACCAGAGCGTCTTTCTCCTGAAACCCGAAGCTGAGCTCTCCCCTGATACAGTGAGTCCCGGGTGCATTTGAATGGGGGTCTGGAGGTGCCCTGGCTGCTGCTAGGTTCATCCCCGGAAAAGCCCAGTAGCCTAAACTGCTAGGGCAGGGACAGGCAGGAATGTGGAGATGACCTTGGGGAAGGAATGGATGGACTCTTCAGGGAGGAGGAATGGCAGCTTGGTCCTGGGGAAGCGGAAGATGTGAGAAAGAAAGTCAAGATCACTTCGCCTTGATTCTGTTGGGCATAAGATGGGACAGAGAGAAACGTTGAGGGGTTTTCAAGATTCTGTTATTATGCCCTACAACAGTGTTTCTCAAGCTTGGGAACTTTAAGATGTGTGGGCTTCAATTCCCAGAATTCCCCAGCCAGCATGGGAGTTGAAGTCCACGTGTCTTAAAGTTCCCAAGCTTGAGAAACACTGTCCTACAACAATAAAATAGCATTCCTGAAATCTTTGCAGTGTCTATTTCCTGATCTGGCCCAATTTGCAGGGCTGACATCAATTCAGAGAGAACAACAGAACACTGTCTACAAATTAATTTTAGGGGAAAGTTGATAAATGCACTTGTGGCTGCTGGTTTCATCCCAAGATTTACATGTCCTTAGAGACATATTCAAATGTGATCACTTGGAACCATTTATTTACAATTTACACCAGATGCTAGTGGTCGCAACCAGATTTAAGGGGCTAGGGGAGGACGGTAGGCAGCAACCAGGGAGAAGCAAAGAATGCTGTCCCTAAATTAATATTATGGGAAGAAAAGTAGGAAAAATAGAAGAAGAAAGCATGTAGGCCAAGGGTAGCCCAACTACTGCACCTGGATATCACACTCCAGATTTTTTGTCACAATGTGAGGTGTAGTGGTGAAGGTGGTGGATTAGAACTCCTGGGGAACTTTGGGCTAGTCCCCACCCCCCTCAGTCCCAGAGCCAGTGTGGAGTAGAGGGGAAGTGGATGGACTAGGAGCAGGAAACCTGGATCCTGGTCTTCCATCAAACGTAGAAGCTTCCCTGGGTCTCTTCTCAACCCAACCTGCCTCAGAGGTAGCTCAGTGTAGAATCCCCTGGAGCATCTCTGCCAAACCACATGGCCTCTGTTTTGTGACCTCTAGTGAAGGAGAACTCATCACTTCACGTGGCAGCCTATTTCACTGGCTTATAGCTTGGCAGTCAGGACGTTCCTCTAGTCCAAACCTCCATCCTCAATTGCAGCCTTTCTGGTTTCAGATTTACAATCTCCTTCCCAAGAAAGATCTCCTTTCTTTCTCCTTTGATGACCTTTTTTTGGATGAAGCAAATTTTCATCCCTGCACAGAAGAAGAAACATTCAGACCTGACATGGTTGGCTTCCAACCAGTGCCTTATTTTTCTGAACAGGGTGATTCTTACAAAATATTCAAGGTAAGTATCAAAGTTGCGGTTCCTCATATGGGAGATGCTCTCATTAGGCAAGGAGAAGTGTGTACATGGGGAGGCATGTCTGTGGGTAGAAAGGAAGAGTCTCTTACCCAGATGGAAATGGTAGAGTCTCTGTTGAGCTGAACTAGACTCCTAATGTCTTCCTGGCCAGATGGAAATATACCTTCCTTATTTTCTTAATGGTTTGTCACTGCCTTCTCTTGGAAGTTTTTTTTGATGTCCCTATCTAACCTTCTGCCCTGGGATTTCCTAGTGATCTCCTATCCAAGAATTAACCTGACCCTATTTAACGTCCAAGTTAATATTGGATCAGCCAGGTGCTGCCACCTGCTAAGGCTTCTCTCCCACCACTTGTCAGCTAATCACCCATTGGCTTTCCTAATTTGGATATAGAAGGCCATTGCAGATGCCAGTTTCCATGTGTTGCTTGTCTGTTCCTTTAAGTACCACCCAAATGGGCAGCAATACGTGCAGAGGATGCAGCATTATGAAAAAAAAAAGACTGGAGAGAGTTGGACAATAATATACAGTACTCCTTATGGCTGAGCATCTTAGAGCAAATGGAAAATAAACATTGACAGTTAGTTCCCCTGAGCAGAAAGAACGGTTCCTTAGTGGCTCTTTGGTTCATCTGGCAGGACGTTGGCTTGAAAATTTTTACAAACGCCAAGCTACGCAAGCGTGTCACCTGCTCCAGAGGGCCCAACCTCTATCCCGGTAAGAAATGGAATGGGTGGGAAAGTGATGAGAAAGGGGTCTCTTGCAACCCCAGCTGGTTCCAGGAGTCGAGTGTTGGAATTCTTTCATGTCCTTAATCCAAGTCATCTGCAGAGGTGGAGTCCTGATAGCTGAGGTTTGATCCCCGGCTGCTCTGTTCCAGAGGGGCCGAGAGGGAGTTCTCCTTTTGCCCTCGAATCCATGATATTGTCTGCACAATGTCATTGTGTGCAGATGATGTCACCATGTGGGTGATGCCACTTGCTCTCCCTCGATGCCCAAGGCTCCTTGTTCTGGACTCTCTTAAGCAATTGAGGGCTTCCTGGGTGGTTGAGGACCCAAATCCTGACTTGTACAGAGTCATGTTCCAGCGGGCAGTGGTAGAAATCAAAATCATGAATAAATGTAAATCAATAGACTCTCTTCCCACAGAAGCATTGATGGGTTAAAAAGTCCTGCAGCTAAGCAGAAAATAGTTCACAGGGTTAGGGTTAAGAAAACTCCCATCTGTAAAAAGGTATCTGGGGAAAAGGTTAAAAAAAAAGCAGCCAGAACTATGTGCAGGAAGCATTGCCCCTTTTCTATGTGTGTCAGCGTAAAAGGAGTGTGGCTTTGATTGCACAATCGCAACCATCATCTTGACATTTTTTTATCCTTCCCCCCAAGAGGATACTCCTACATCAGTGATGGTTATGGGGTTAGGTGCTGGGGTTAGGTGAGGGGAGGAATCGAGGGGTTGATAGCGATCACAAAGGGGGTGGAGTTTATGGGGGATCTAACAGGCAATGTTTGGACTCCACGCCCCAAGTTCCATGGAGCAAAGAAGTGATTTGCACAAGTGGAAAGGTCGGGGCCTCCAGTGGTGAAATCAGGACATTTCCTCCCCATCGTCCAACGTTCTGGAGGCCTCCAGTAGTCCACCGTGAACTTATGTAGACAGGTGCCAAAACTGGACCCCTGAGAGGGCTGGTATCCTTTGAGTACAAATCACCACATTGCTTCCTCTTTCTGTTCCAGAGATGGTTCCACGGATAATTCCAGCGGTAGCGTCTAGAATTTCCCCACCATCTGGAGTGTTACCGGGTGCTGCAGGTCTGCCATTCGCTTCCCCAGGAATTGGCCCTGTGGGAGTCTCTGGAGCTTTGCCATTGCCTGCCCCTGGAGTTAGTTTCGGTACTATTCTCGGTGGGTTTCCTCCCATTCCCCAGGTTGGGGTCGTCCACAAAAAGGCACCTCGGCGCATCTTCCCCGAAACGTGGATCTGGAGCCTGGTTATCGTAAAGTAAGTTGATGGCACAGACTAAGGGATCCTCTGGAGACCAACTTCTCCCACCTAGGGGGCCTTCCAGGTACAGTGGTACCTCGGTTCACGAACTTAATACGTTCCACGACTCTGGTCGCGAACCGAATTGGTCATGAACCAAATCAAATTTCCCCATAAGATTCAATGTAAATACGATTAATCCGTTCTGACCCCTACGAATGTGGTCGCCAACCAATTTTGGTCGCCAACCGAATCAAATTTCCCATAAGGTTCAATGTAAATACGGTTAATCTGTTCTGAACATATGTATTTTTTTTTTAAATCACAAAAATATGAAACAAAGTACAGTACAGTACAGTATGACGAGAGAGAACACTAACCTTGCTTGAGGTGACTTCTGGCGTGGAGGATAGGAAGGCGGGGAAGGTGGGGAGGTGGTTATTGTTTGGAGGGAGAGTCCCCCTCCCTACAGGAAGCCACGACCACGTGTGTCAGCAGGGAAAAAGGCCGCGGATCCTGTTTTTCACCCGGTGCGGGGCGCGCGGACGGCGGC